GAATAATGACCAGATAATTAAATGTGTCAATCTAGAATCTGGGTGAAAGCAAAAGATAAAGTTGGCAAAAGCAACCCTATCTTCATATTTCCAGCATATAAAGGTAGCTCTCCTCTGGGACTTCTGGAGTTGGAAAATCATCAATCCACAACTTTCATAATAAAGAATAGTTCAGGCCAAAATCATAATGGATGGTAGCTCCAGGAAAAATTTTTGATGAGAAATAGGATATTTGCATGGTCATAATGAATCTCCCCAAAGACTGTTTAATAGTTGCAAAGGAAAAAATACTAACTATACAGTGGAAAAATCTGAGTGAGCAACATTTAACAACTAACATCACCAACGAGGCAGATGGATATCATGTGACTCGATGTGAGATGCTGAAGACACCCCATCACTTATGTAATTTTCCAGCCTGGAATGTATAACCTAAATCTAATCATAATGAGATATTAGACAATCCCAAATGAGCAACATTCTATTAAAATAAAAGAACTGTCGTCTTCAAACATATTAGTGTCATTAAAGACTAAGAAAGCTGTGAAAATGTTCCAGTTTAAGAAGACTAAAGGCAAAACCTGATCTTAGGAACTTTTACTGGGGGAAAATGCTATAAAGGCATTATTTGGGCCATTTGATAAAATTGGAATACAGTTAAGAGAATATCTCCTTAGGAAAAATACAAACGTATTTAGGGCAAAATTATATATACAAAATCAGAGAGCATGCATGAGCACACAATGATAAAGCAAAAGGAAATTGGTGAATCTGGGTAAAGGATATATAGGTATTCTTTGTACTACTTTTATTCTTGCAACTTTTCTGTAAGCTTGAAATTATCTCTAAATAACATAACTAATTTATGCTGTTAAAAGTTAGGATAATGGTTATCCATTAAGGCAGGTAGTGACTATAAGAGAGTAGGATGGAGGTTTTTGGCATGTTGATAATGTTGTTTCTTGATTAGGAAGCACTTATACACGTTCGGTTTGTGAAAATGCATTTGACTTATACTAATGGATACTTTTCTGTAAATATATTTCAATAAAAACTTAAGAAAATAAAAATGGCCTTCTGCCAAAGAACCAGAGCAAAATTTTTGGAGATGGAGTCTAAATATTTTGTATTTCACCGATCAAAAATAAAAATACTTGCATACACATGCGCGCGAGTGCACACACACACACACACACGCACACACAAAGTCTAAACAGAACACTCCTTGAGGACAGAGATTATGTTTTCTTTCATATATCATCTATACCATGTAGCAGAAGCCTACCATGTAATAATTTCTCGATAAATGAATTAAATAATTTCTCAATAAATATTTTATAATATATAAACTAATTTTCATGAAGTTAATTGTTTTGAACTATTCATTTCATTTAATTACAAATTATTTATTACAGATAATTTCTCAATAAATAAATATGCTTGTTAATTGGCATTGGGCTGACTGGGAACTCTTTTAAGATCACATCAATTTATTGTCCTAATTGAATTTCCTTTGCCTTTGGTCCAAATTCCTACTCTCTATCTCCAAACTCCCCTCTCTGTAAAACATTCCTTTTCATCCCTACCCGGAAAGTACCATTTAAGAAAATGAAACTTCATGTTTCAAGGGGCATTTTGATGTTCTCTCTGATCAGAACTTAGAAATGATTCACCTTGGCCACTCCACTAGCTTTGTGTGTTTTAAAAGAGCAATTTAAGAAAAAACACAAACTCCCTGTGGACAGACATAGCCTCATGAGTGTTGGGCTGGGATGGTACAACCTACCCCAGCTCTTGGCTGGACCTTTGTATCATGCACAAACTGTACATCCATATGCAAAAGGCATATGACTCATTTACTTCAGAAACTTTTTCTTTTTAAAATCATGACAATGATTTAAAGTTATTTATTTATTAATATAAAGCATTTTACATATGTTCTCAGATTCAGTTAGGCACTTGGTTTATTCTCTACAAATGAACTATCATATTATTCCCTTACATAGAAAGCCTTCCTTTTATTTTCCTGTAGGTCTCCTCTTAAATTATCCATGAGAAACTACCTGATAAGCCATGGCAGTACTGTTAATACCTCCAAGTCCTTTATACATCCTAGCAGTCTGATCATTTGACTTTGTATATGTTTATAATTTATCAATAACTGCTTAAGTGGATACAACTTATTTTACACAAAAGAGACACCTAACTGGAGGGCAGACCTCTTTTGGGGCAGTATTTTTGTTAGCTGTATAATTTCCTTTAAAATTCTTACACCAGCAAAGAACACTGCAGGCTAGAAAATGCCTTTTTTGAGATAGCTAGTTGGCTGGCTGCTTCCTAAAGTTAGATACGTGAGTCTCAATAGTATTCACAACAGATTTCCAACATCTTTCATATAAATAGTTGAATATTTGAAAGCTAATTCTTCTTTATGTGCATTAACTCTATTCTCTATGTGTTCCAAAAGCATAGAAGACAACTACATAAAACAAGCAAATCAGAGTACACCTATAAATTTTAAAAGGAGGGGATTCCTTGCAAACTTCAAGTTTAAAACATCTAAATTAAAGTTTACATGCTAAGCAATGTCTACTATATAAATCATATATGTATATATCCTATTACTGTTTATATGGTAAAATTTCACTATTTCCAAATAGTAGCAAAACATTAATTATAAAAGTTTAACACAACTTACTTTCAAATATCCCTGCTGACTTGAACTGGGCTAACAGTGTAACAAAATATAAAGGTATAAAAAGATAAAAGGAGAACTGCTTTTAAAAATATATACAAATTCATAATCAAGAGGTTATTTGATACTTTTGAAAAACTAAGTTCTTTGCTTTAACAAACATAATTCCTTTAATCTCATGAATCTGTTTTATAGCTTTTACTTATAAACATCAATCATCAGCTTAATTCATGTCTAATACATTTCATGTCTAATAAAGCATTCAGTATATATCCAATAGGTACACTTTTTCTCAAAATGATACTGTGTACTACAGAATACTAAACATATCCAATATACATCTATTTGCCTCCCTTCCAACATATATCCTTTTAGAAGACTAAAATGAGTTATTAATTTTTATCTGGCATCCCCCATATTTTAAGAGTAATAGAAGCTCCCCCAAATTCAAAGAGTAATAGAAGCTCCCCCAAATTCAAACCATAATAATTATGCTGAGGATTTGTTATTCATTATCAAAATTTCTCTAAAAATACATAGATACAAAAAAAAAAACCACAAAGAAAATACTGATGTATATTTAAAATCCTTACTGTGCTATTTTTATATTTAGGATGTACCTAAGTATATTTTACAAGTGCATAATGTGGGTGATATAACTGTTCACTGTACCTTACTGTACTATCAGTCTCAAGTTCTTTTTGCATAGTTAAAAATCTAAAGAAGCATCTTTATATAATGAAGTTGGTAGAGTACCAAGAAAGCTATATAAATTGATCCCAAAGGTTTAAAAAAATTAATGAAAATATAAAACTTTCCAGTTCATATAATTAAAGAGAATAAGTTTCTTTTTTAAGTCTCCTAGCCAGTTCTCCAATTTTAAGTTGTTCTGAAAACTGAATAACAATGTTATAACTCAAGAAACAACACATTAATGAATTACTCTTAGTGATCATACACTGGTCTATAACATGTTTTAAAAAATTAATTTAAAGACATATTTTGGCCCGACTTTAAGTTATACTACAAAGCAACAGTAATCAAAACGGCATGGTATTGACAAAAACAGACACACGGACCAGTGGAACAGAATCGAGAGTCCAGAAGTAAACCCATGTTTATAGTAGGAAATAATTTTCGACAAAAAAGCCAAAAACATATAGTGGAGAAAGGAAAGCCTCTTCAATAAATGGTGCTGGGAAAACTGGAAAGCCGCCTGCAAAAGAATGAAACTAGACTGTTGTCTATCACCACACACCAAAATTAACTCAAAATGG